CAGCCCCAGCCTGCGAGGAGGGCCGCGACGCGCCGGCGACCCCAACCAGCTCTACCTCGCCGCCCAGGGGGAGGGCTCCCCGCAGAGGATATTGTCCCACTTTGAGGTCCTCGCACTTAAGCGTCTCCTCGCCCCCGACAGCGGCGGCGCCTCGAGTTCCCGTGGCGACCGAGACGAGCCACAGGACACCGAGGAGCCCGGCGGACACGGCGCTCCGAGCGGCCGGCCAGCAGGGCCAGGGGGCCGCCATTTTGGAGACCGGCGCGTCCACGCCACTTCCGGTTCCGCCTCCGCCCGGGAGCGGGCGGGGCGAGGAAGGCGCGAGAGGCTCTTAAAGGGACAGTCCCGCGCGACTTCGGAGGCTTTCCTGCGTGTGATCCCGTGGAGTCACCTTTTATTCTATTCTCTTTTTATTTTTTGAGTCGGAGTCTCACTCCGTCGCCCAGGCTGTAGTGCAGGGGCACGCTCCCGGCCACCGCAGCCTCCACCTACTGGGCTCAGGCGATCCTTCCACCTCGGCCTTCCAAGTAGCTGGAACTACAAGCGTGCAGTGCCACGCCCGGCTGATTTTTTGATTTATGGTAGAGACGGGGCCTCGCCAAGTTGCCCGGGCTGGTCTCGAGCCCCCGGACTCAGGCAGTCCTCTCGCCTCGGCCTCCCAAAGAGCTGGGATGACATGCTGAGCCACTGCGCCCGGCCACCTTTTATTTTTAAAAAATGCACGTCCCCGGAGTGGCCGTGAGCGTGCCACTGAACTCCAGGCTGGGCGACAGAGGGAGACTCTGACTCCGAAAAAAAAAAAAAAAAGCACGTCCCTGGTTCTTCCCGCGGGGCGAATTTCCCCCCACGAACCCTTGGACGGAGCCAGGGTGGGCCTTTGCGGGGCGAAGAAGGAAAAGACTCGTCTGGGACTCAACTGCCTCCACGCGCTCCGGCTCTGCTGTGGCTTCGGGACCCCTGGAAGTGCCAGCGGCGCCCGCCGTCGGGATACAGGCTTTCCAGACAGCCGCCCTGGTAGTGGGCCAGAGGGGCCAGAGTTCCTGAATGGCTCCGTGGGAACGAAACTGATGCTTTGCCAGATTTCGGAATCTGTGTTCTTACTAATGGTGGTAGAATGTTCCCCTGTTGGCACTTTGGGAGGCGGAGGGGAGAGGACTGCCTGAGTCCACGGTTGCTGGGCAACCTGGCGAGACCC